TAGGGAAAGGTGGAAGAAAGAAGTACGGGGAAGCGGTAGGTAATTTTCAACTTCATGTAAAGAAGGTGGCAAAAGATGTGAAAGTTTGTGAAATGACAAAGAAGAAAAGAATGTATGAAGAAAAAAGTCTGTAAAGGCTGATGAAGTTGAGATTACATTAGTCCGGGGGAGGGGGGGGTGCGGCTATCCACAATAGCTGTCATTTTCCATGCACAGCTAAGCCACCAGCAGCTTACGGGAGTTTGTAATATAGTCCAAACCGTACAATGGATTTGAAGGATTCCTGGAAACTCCTACTGACTCTTACCCCTCACTCAAATGGGAAACATTGCCCCAGTAATAATTTCTTTCAGCAATGACAGCATCCACACACAAAAGCTAGCCTGATGTGAATTTGAAGAGACTCAGCCTAGAAGTTAATTTTTAAGAGGGACTGGAAAGTAAGTCAGATATACTTGAAAGTCATTAAAAGATGTTCAGTGTTCTAGCACAGCTTTTGATTTTTGGAATTAGGGAACTCTGAAGAACTCCACAAAGGAACTCAGCATCTCCATCAGAAAAAAATGAAAAAGGACAAAGTAACGCAATGTTTTGGTTTCCATACCTGTTTCCTCATCTTCTTCAGCTTCATCATCATCATCGCTGTCATTTTCATGCTCTGCATGACAGGCATATGCTCTTTTCAATCCATTAAATAAAAGGATAAAAGCTGGTAGGATCTGGCCAGCAACTTGATTTAAAACCTGTGGTATTTGCTCCAGATCAATAAGAGCACACAAGCCAAGCACACACATCTTTCTATCATGAAGTCTACAAAACAAAAAGAGTAAAAGAATTTTATTATGATTAACAAGCAGGTAATATAGAGGTGTATCACAGAGAAGAATCTTCAAAATTAGAAACACTTACCCCAAGAAACAGTCCACATCATTAAGCCACTGTGTTATGAAGTGATTAGTGACAGGCTCCACATTATTGGGAAAACGAAGATTTTCCAATGTATTTAAGAGTAAGTGAGGATTGTAATACAAAGCAGCTATGGCAACCTGGAGGCACATTGTTCGCAGTTCACTTGTTTTCACTTCTCTGGTCAATCTCTCTAATGCAGCTTCCACGAATAAGGGTATGCACTGAAGAGTGAGAACCATTACAAATTTAGGATAAAAAAATAACTTTTGTAGTTCTGTATTTCACACTAAAGTTGAGAAATGGCATAAAACCAGTCTTGTTCATAAATACAGAGGGCATAAAATGGGAAAAATTTTTAATTTCCAGCAGAAGTCATATACAAAAATGAAATGAAAAGGTGTAAAGATTTAATCTACTCTTAGCACATGGATTTTTGTGACGTCATGCACAGTAGATTTAATTCCTGGGTCTATAATCTTGTGTTTTAACAATGAAAAATAAGAGGAAATGTGTATACTAGGAAGTCCAGAAAAATCAGCTTAAATCTTTTTAATATCCACAAAGTCAAGAGATATTACTAACATCCTAAGAAATCAGCTGTTCAAAGGAGTAGTGTCTTCAGAGATGCTACAGTGAAAAAAAAAATTGCTGGAGAAGATTTTCTCTCAAATACATTAAAAAATAAAAGTTTCTAGGCACGCTATTCACAAGTATTAAAAAGCATACAAAAAAGTTTAAACAGCTATTATAGAGTGCTCGTCATGTACAGAGCAGAAGCACACAAACTCATCTCTCAAATTCCAACTTCCGTAATGAAGTCCCTCATTCCTCTATGACAATAATTCACAAAAACACTTGAGTTTTGCAGTTCTGGGGACAAAGCGTGCAGTAACTATCTCTGCAGTGCTGTTAACTGAGTAACACTGAAGTAGAACGGAACTCATGTTAATACATAATCAAATGATACTGCAGAAAAAATTCTTCTAAAAATAATAGTTACAGCAACCAAAGTTGTTACCAACCTGATCAATGCCACGCCCTTTACACTGAAGAATAATTACTTCTAACAGCTTTGCTGCATGACATTCTGCATCTTCTCCAGCAACTCCTGTAAGGACCTGAAAAATAATATTACTGCTAATGATATCCCTTCGAGAAGTATTTTCTATATATACTGCTTCGCTTTGAAAAGCTGATATAAGTTTACCACTCTATTACAATGCAAACATATCCATCAGTGAAGCAGCCAAATCTACAGCAATGACTCAGTATCAGAACTAGAGACTGAACATTGCTGAATGCAAGTAAAACTGAAAAAAAAAAAAAGTTTTTTTCCATACACAAACCAAAAATTTATGTACTGAATTTTGTAAAAATTGTGTTTACAAATTTGGGATATCCACTAGGAGGCCAAGCAATGCCTAAAACTTCGGTGTTAAAGATTCACTGTGCTCAGTTAATAAAATACTAATCACTAAGAAGTCATAACAGGCTAATTTTCTTTTTTTATATATATATATATATATATAATAAAAGTATTTACGATCAGCCTGGTTACAACTTACTGTTTTCAAATAAAGGCTGGCAGGAGTTATTCACTATAATATTTAAACTTTTTCAAAAGAATTACTCAGGAAATACCATGGGCAGGGCAGTTGACAGTTCACCATAGTTCTCGTATAGACACAATACATGATATCCAGAAGTGGAAACTGAAGTCCTCACAGATTACTACTAGAGATTATAAAATATTCACACCATCTTATAAAGAAGTATTCATTTCCTCACATAGGGCTAACATTCTGGAAAACTTTGTGTTCTACATATTGATTGGATAAAGCAAGTCCAGTTGGCAGCTATCTAATGCACAGGAGCTGAGAATCATAGATTCATAGAAGCTTTGGGTTGGAAGGGATCTTTGAAGGTCATCTAGCCCAACCCCCCTGCAGTAAGCAGGGACATCTTCAACCAGAGCACGTTGCTCAGAGCCCCGTCCAACCTGACCTTCAATGTTTCCAGGGATGGGGCACCTACCACCTCTCTGGGCAACCTGTGCCACTGTCTCACCATTCACATCGTGAAAAATTGCTTCCTTATATCTAGTCTAAATCTACCCTCTTTTAGTTTAAAAAATTTTAAAAATTACCCCTTGTCCTATCACAACAGGCCTTGCTAAGAAGTCTGTCCCCATCTTTCTTATAAACCCCCTTTAACTACTGGAAGGCTGCAGTAAGGTCTCCCCAGAGCCCTCTCTCCTCCAGGCTGAACAACCCCAACTCCCTTAGCCTGTCCTCACAGCAGAGGTGTTCCAGCCCTCTGGTCATTTTGGTGGCCCTCCTCTGGACCCGATCCAACAGGTCCATGTCTTTCCTGTGCTGAGGGCTCCAGAGCTGGACGCAGTACTGCAGGTGGGGTCTCACCAGAGCGGAGTAGAGGGGCAGCATCCCCTCCCTCCCGCTGCTGGCCATGCTTCTTTTGATGCAGCCCAGGATATGGTTGGCATTCTGGGCTAATCCGTGCACATTGCCGGCTCATGTCCAGCTTTTCATCCATCAGCAGCCCCAGGTCCTGCTTGGCAGGGCTACTCTCTATCCCTTCATCCCCCAGCCTGTATTGATACCGGGGGTTGTCGCGACCGAGGTGAAGGAACTAAGTTAGCAGAAACTACGTTAAATACAGAAACACTGCCCAAATGCTACTGGACTGAGTCAGAACAACTGCATTCTGCTCCCAGCTTTCATCACTGACTTGGCATGAACTTGGGCAAATAACTTCCTATTCCATCCCTATTCCACCTGTTTTAGCTAACAGATTTAAGACCTTTAGCATACATATGGTGTGTGGTATCCTAGCCATAGTGAGGCTACAAATCTCAGATAAAAGAAACCATCTACCTTTTGCAATATGCATACGCATTTTGCATGCCCGTATGCACAAAGTGTATTACACAAAACACTCATGCACAAAAACCTGGGTTGTTTAATCTGCTTTTGTTGTGTATGATTTATTTTTCCCCTTTAGCAAAAGCATATATCTGAAATTTGATGCAACCTCTTTAAATTTCTCTGCGATAACTTGATTTGTGGAATCATGGAGGTTGTTAAATAGCATAATGCTTTAAGAGCAGACGTCAAAATTCTTCAGTTTCATAGTCTGCTGTTGTGGAAAAGAAGTACCCATTTTAACAGTGTATTACAATTCAGAGATCACAGGTTTTGTTATCACAAAGGAATAATCTACTTACCTTCTTGCACATACTGTATATCATTTCAAGATATTTTGTGTCTGACAGAAGTGTATCTGTATCAACAGTAACATAATTATGCAAGAGCGGCATCATGTCTGTATTAAAAAAGAATGATCACAGTTAGATATTGTTTGCATGTTTTATTAGATGAGCTGTTAAAAATCAGGTTGAAATCTATGTATTAGTAAGTTAATTACAGTTCTTGCTTAATGTTTCTCAAGATAAGCGTGCATCTAGTCATAGATGCCTTAGCAGAACAAGGCTGGTTGCAGCAACAGCAGAATAAAAGACTTCAAGCATAACCTCACTTCAGTGTTCTCCTAACATTTCAATCAAGATGCAATTCACTGTACCGTTGAAATCACATATATGAAACCATCTGGCTTTCTGATTTATTATTTGTATTACTTACCTGTAAAATAATCAAAGCCATCCTGCTGAAAGACTTCAAAAACAAGAGGAAGAAGCTGCCACATTTGTGCAGAAACTTGTTGACAAGTCAGACTATGAGCCAAGGAAAAGATCTCCTCATAGAACTCTAAAACAAATAGAATCTAGGTAAATTTAATGCCGATCCCATACACTTAAAAAAACATAAGCCAACAAAAGTAGAGATACCTAATACATGCTGCTGCAAAACTGTTCCAATCACTTGCAAACAGATCCCTTCCAGCTGCTGGGTAATCTGAAAAAGGAGATTTATGACTGTTTTCAATACTTTGGAGTTTAATTTAAACACATTTTAAAATAAAATTACTCAAAGCAATTTCTATTTACACAGTATAGTCTTCTAAAAATAATTCAAAATTTCTCACATTTTATAGCACTAAATGTGTAAGAGCAGCACTCTTAGTTAAGCATTTGTAGGATAGCTTTTAATACGAGGCGTTTTTGGAATATTCTTTAAATGCTAGAAGAATCTCTTTATAGGGTATCCTTAAAAAAGAAAAGCCTGACAGTAACCCTATGGAACAGTTTAGTCCCATTAAAACACAATAAGTAAATGCATATATCAGAGGGGCAAGCAATGGAAGTTGCAAGAAGTATTTGCTGTTCCAGAAAAGTGAAATTTCAAAAAACAAAACCAAATACCAAATCACCTCCCAAACCTAGCTCAGGATGTTCATATGGTATGTGGACAATGCTGGGCTACAGATTCAGACACCCTCCCCAATTAGTATGTATTAGTCTATGGAACAGCTAACAGAACAGTCATTAACCTGTTTAGGGCACTTACCTTGCATAGGGACAAATAAGGGTTGAGTTTCTGGTCTTAGCTATGCAGAACAGGATTTGAAACTAACCAGCTAAATACCCTATCTCTTGAAACACTGGATATCCTATGTGAGATGCCTCTAAATACAAATGTTTACTGATCAACTTTCTACAATTGAGTTCCTTGGGACTAGCATATTGTTACACAAACTTTTCATTTCAATAGCAAGAATTTGCTGACAAAAACAAGTACATGAAAAGCTTGCTGAGCAGCTTTAGTAACAAGTAAATAAACTGAACTGGTCCTTGGTTTATTGCACGGCAGCACTGGATTCCACCACTGGGCATTCAAAATTTGTGTTATGCTGCTTCCTCAGTAAGGTCTTCAGAGCCCTGAGAGTACAACTTATTACCGAACTGTATAGTCACTAAAAAAATACAATGTATTTATCAAAAAATAGTAGCTGATTTTGTCAAGGAGTATTTTAATCAGCAATAGCATGTTTTGAACAAGCTGTACTCTGGACAGAAGTAAGGCCATTCAGTACAACACAACTAAATAATAAAAGTTTTCATCACACCAGAGAATTCTACAGTGCAGATTAGGCAGGTAAAAACCCCTATCATTTAGCATAGCCACAACAGCTGTATTTACAGATATTGATTCTGTTGCAGAGAGCAAACTAAGTCACCAGAGTCAATGTTCAAAGCTCAGTGAAGTTTTACCTATTTTCTGTGAAGGGCAGACCTCATCAAGACAGATGTTTTTTTCCAGCTGCACTGACAAGCGTTTCATCTGTTAGAGACAAGTTGCTTCCACATATCTGAACAAGAACCTGGATTCTTATGGGAACACTTAAGCTCTATTACTACACGTATTGTGTTAGAAATGTGACCCACTCTGTCACAACTTTGTGGCACAAGTACTTTGTTGTTTTCTGTTTTAAGATATTTTTGGCTGAAAGGACAGTTTTTCAGATAGCAATATCAGGAACACTAGAACTACGGAAGACTTCCAGTGTTTAGACAAGACAAATTAGCTTTAAAGTAATTTTTACTCACTTCCTTGTGATCTTCAACTACACTGAGAAGTGTATCAATGGTATTCAAGATTCCCATTGCTGTTACTGCTTTGTCATCACTGCCCTCTTCATCTGGTCCAGTCTGGATCACCTGGTTAAATGTCATTGCCTGCATGTAATAGCAAAACAAGCCATAAATATGTCATTTAATGAGGAAATGCTTGGAGATGAAGAACAATTGTACAAGTCTGGTATTCTACACAATTTATGGAATACTTCTTTTAAGAAAACATGTATTAATATTAGACGGTAACTGCTCCATTCCAGAGTTTTTCAAGATAGATAAAATTTGAATGTTAAGCCATTTAAGCTGTAATCCTTTAACCATTCATGAATAAATAGATATAAATGACATTACTTTCTATGCAAAAGAATACATTTTCTACAAGTAAGTTTTTCTGACGCAGGGCTTAATTGGTAGCTGAAGTAGACCAGACCACTTTGTAGGCATTCCCAGAAGGGACATGCAAACAATTTAGTTTTAACTCCAAGGCAAGGGCCTTGGGCCTTCCTCATTAAAGGGAAAGCACTGAGCTGACATCTGCTTTTGAAGCCACTAGTGTAACTTGCTAGATACGGCCATTCAAGGTCTGAATTTCTCCTGCAGATTCAATTTTATTTTCAGATTACATACAACACAAAAAACTTGGTGTGAAAATAAATGTTATTAGAAATCTGCTCTTTAATTTCCCATTTTAAAACAGAAAAACTAAGTCACATTGTAGAGACTACCTAAAATGTGCTACCAAAATTCATTAACAACACTATTAGAAGAAAATACGTACAGATTTCTCAATCATTTCTACAATCTTTCTGAGAAATTTCCATGTAGCTGAAGTTATGAAGCCACTTTTGAGAATAAATAGTCTATATGTAGCAGAAAATTACTTGTATCAATGCACTTAGGCAGACTGGAGTAACAACAGCTATTGATTGATGGACAGCTATCTTAATTTTAAATACCAATCTTTCTCATATTAAACCTCTTCATAAGTCACCAGAAAGTCTTACCAAATGCTGTGTCATTTCTACTGCAATTGGGGTAACTTCTTCACTATATTCACAGATCATCTTCTGAATCACATTAGTAAGATCATCATTTTCAGTTTCTCTTATAATATGAAGTAAAGCTTGCATTACAGGTCTAATGAATGGAGTAATATATTCTTTAGCTGTAAAACAAGTGGAAGTATTTGAATTCATATTCTTACAAAACTACAGTATAAGAAAGCCAATATATACTTTATTAATACTTAGTACTTCAGCACTAATATGCCAAAACCATGGGTAGTATAAATTGTTATAGCAATACTAACATTCAAAATAATTTTTTAATAAAAATATATACCAAGAGGATCACAACTGAAGTAGGAAAAGACTATAGAACTCTGGTTTATGGAATGCAAGATTCCAATAATTCCAATCAATGCAAAGTGTAAATGAACAGGAATGGGTACATTTAATAATAATACAAAAATACGTAAGTATTTGATATAGAATTTCTCTTTGCTTTGTGGCTTTTATGCTAGCTTCAGGAATACTAAGCAATGTAAAGCCTGGCAGGATAAAGAACACTTTTTTAAAAAAAGTTAACATGAACTAATGTGTGCTGAGACAGATATGCTTATATTGCCACTGTATTTCTGATTCAATGATTAGCTGCTGTAAAACTGGATTTATTGTACCATGAAATTGTGATCAAGTTATTTATAGAAAATATAACATTTTCCAGCTGGAAAATTACAGTAAGCTATTACAAACTGCAATTGCAAGAAGTAAATTAACGTCAGGAAAGAAGAGAACAAGTCTCCCTGAACATAGCAATATTAATGCCTATTCCATTAAAGCTTGCTGTAGCTTTAAGAACAGAGGGCTACCTTTCTCTTGATTACTGATCAGAACTTGAAGTGCTATTGCAGCTTCCACTTTCACAGGCATTTCCCTATCATCTATCAGACACCGTCTTGTGAGTTCTAAGGCTGTCTGAAGATTCTGGTCACTCTTAAATTTGACTTCACAAAAATAATGAAGAACCCAACAAGCCTGAAAAAAAGACATTGAACAAAATCAGAGGTACAAAACCTACAAACAGGATTATCGACTACTCGTATACCCATAGCCTACACAAATTATTAAAACTGAAGTACAACTACTGCTGAATAAAGATACTGTAAAACTTTTTAACAGATGAAGATGTTTGAGCGTGTGGAGGCTGGCCAGTGGGAGGCTTGTCCTTCAGACATCACTAGACCAGTACTATGATCTCAGGTTCATCTTTGGCCACAGGTTTTGTGTGAGCAGTACAGTCTAAATGCAAAACACAAATAGACCATACCACCAGACACAGATGGAAAACTATGCACACAGTTCTGCGGCCATTTTAAAACTACACAGAGTTAGCTATAATCACAGATAAAGACTGATACTAGTGTCTGAAATAAGCATACAATTTATTACAGAAAAGGTGCAGAAAGGAGTGCCTTTGTTAGAGGGGAAAAATTTAAAGAATATTCCTGAACTGCTCAGTTGAAACAGACATTATATCTTAATATCAAATCTTACACTTTCTTACCCGTGCTCTCATGTAACCCAGTTCACTGCTGAAGAGAGGGAACACATGATTCTGCAACATATATTCCATCTGATCTTTATATATCTTCTTCTGTCAGAATATGAACAGAAACACATCAGTTTAAACCTTTAAATAAAAATGCATTTGTAATCCAGTAAAAAGAAGTCACATATACAAGTATGAACAGCATAATAGGACTTTTAACTTCCCCCTTCATTAAAGTCCATTAAGCAACAATGAAGTCCCATATTAGTAATTAAACTTGGATCCTACATAGACTTTTTATAATTTTCAGTCAAAGGAGTGATGCTTTTTGTCCCCTGTAATTTATTTTGACTCTGAGAGACACCTTTTGCTTGGCAGTACATTACTCTGGTATCAAAAGCAAAAGTGGTCAGGGAAGATTCTCAGAGCTGTGGTCCAAACACAAGTCCATGCCCTGCATCTTTTTTGCTACCATTCTAATTGAGCAAGGTTTCCAATTTCACTTTATTTCCTTTCTTTCTTCTACACACAGAAAAGATCTCATTAAATGAACAGCCTCTCACTGAATGGATTTTTTCCCCTTTCTTCCACAAAAAAAGGGACTGTATTTAAGTGTAGTGCAGGAAATGGTGTAGCAATTCCTAATAGAAGCAGAGAACTTAAAGGAACTTAAAACAATAATCTGAACTTGAACATGACCTAATAAAACTTGTGTAATTAAGCTGACAACAAAACCAAATCAATTAAAGCTTTAAAAAAAAATAATGGCAGCAATTCAAAAACTTGTAAACTCGAAGAGCTACACTCATTTCTTCTAAGACACTATATGTGAAAGAAAGGAAACGAGGGGTGAAAAAAAAAGAACCAAAAGGACAACCAGATTTGTTATGCTTACTTTTAGGAGAATTTCAGCCAAAGAACCGATCATATGTAAAGCACCATCTTTCTTACGAGGATCAGCATTTGGCTCCGTAAGGATCTGATAACAAAAGCCCATTGTCTTCTGCAAGACCTAGATTACATGTAAGGTTAGGCAAAGTATTTCCATCAAATCATCTCAGGTACTGTTCTCAGTGCTCTGAAATGTTTAAATCTCTAATAATCTGCTCCAAAACTGAAATCTGGATAATGTTTTATGTCTTTGTTATAAACACACAACATTCTTGACAGATACGTCCTAGTGGAATTGGCAAATACAAAAAGCAAATAGGCCACTGCAAAATAAATTTCATAGAATTAGTAAACTTTAGTGTACTATGATATGACAGAGAGCAGAAAAGTAAAACTTATTAGTAGTTTTTTCAGCAAATGGAGACTATAAACTAAAGCTAGCTAATGTATTTAAGTAAAATCCTTGAACAGCTTACCTCTTTCCTTTTACTACATGATGTAAACAGTAACGTCTGAGCAGCAGTTGTTGGAGAAATGAAGTCTTCAAACACATCTATTAAGTAAACATGTAACAGCTATAAATTTTGGTCTTTTACTACAGTTCATGACCCTAATCTAATCTAATGATTTAATACGAAACAAAAGAGCATCTCCCCCACCCCAGGTGGTTAATCATGCTTTCTTACTGCAGATATTCCAAGACCAAGCAGCAGGAACACATGGTTGGAGACTCCCAACACATATGTTTCACCTTTTTCATGATCACTTGCTCTATATGTCTAATTTGAAATTTTATGTCTTCCTTATTTAAAGACTAATCTTTGTAACAGTAGAAGCAGACACCAGTCAATTTTTGACATATGTTATTTGCTGTACAGGCAAGCACACATAATTGAGTTTATAATGCTCAGCTTCGTATTTCTCTACAGATTATTGGAGCCTTGTATAATACCTGTATTGTCTACAGGTCTTCCTCTGACCTGAGTGATAAGAAACTCCCAAACCCATAAAGATTCCTAGTTCTAAACACATAAAAGTCCTAGTGGAGGAAACAATTTGTTCAGGAAGTCTGAAGTATATCTTCTTTCTTCCTCAGCCTGAAAGGACTGCATAGACTTAGAGTAAACCCCCAACAACAAAGTAGCAAGTCACAGGACATGAAATAAGACAAGCCTGGAATGCTAGGAGTACTTCACAATGCTTTATTTACAATTACGGTAAGTCTGTTCTGAACTGTACCATGTGTGAAATTCCTTAAGATTGTAAAAACTCCAGGGCCTGAAATATTAGCTGTTGTAAGGCATAAACCTTTAATAACATAAATATATGCAATTATTGTTAGCTATACCTGGACTGTTTGACTTATAACAAAAACTTCGTAACTGTCAAAACTAGCTACTTTTTCAAGTGCAGAAACACCTGTGTCATTGTTGACTGTCATATGTTATGTGACACTTCCATGAGTATATCCGAAAGTTAACTATATAAAGTTGTATTATTTGGATAATACAAACTGCTTTTCTCTCTCTTTTTTCTAAAGATTAAAGCCATCTCTATTTTCGCAAAAAAACTACAAAAATTCCATCTTCGTGTGAAGACATATTTTAAATATGAGTAGATTTCAAATACTCACCAAATTTCATGCGAATATATTCATATGGATCTTCTTGCCAAAGCTCTTCATCAGCATCTGTATAGCACATCAATGGAAAAATAACATCTTGGATAATTCCCTGCAATAAAAAAAAAGTTGAAAACAGGCTAGTACTAGTAAACCAATCTCTGTATTCTGTCCTGTATTTCAGAGATTTTGTCCATCCTGTGACTTCTCACACAAAATGGTAACATTCTAAAATTATTTGGGCATAGTGGGTTTTATGTGCTACCTTACAAAAAAAGAGGTCTTTTAACTTAGGGTAAAGCTACAATACAGCACAAGCCATTAGATTTTCTTTGGATAATGGTATGTGGCGATGATTCAATGCCATAAATTCAGTAATTAACATCTCCAAATTCGTTGTGCTGCTGTGTTACACTGTAATTCTTAACATATTAAAGCACAAAGGACTGACAGCAAAAAAAGCAATCAGCTAGCTCTGCTCCTGTATCAAGGCAACCTTCACCAAACAGGATTAAACTCTTCCCACCAGCAATTTATAACAGAGGTCCCTAAAACTTGAATTCTAGCAAGGCTAGAAACACCATACAACAAACTGACTAATGTACTACTGAGTCATCCAAGTATTAAAGCTCAAAAATGGTTTACTTGAATATGAGGTTTCAGATTCTTCCAGGTGACTGCATGTGACACTCCTTGATTGATGTAATTCAGCGTCTGCTGCAGAACTCTAGGAGCCATGTACTGCTTTTCCTTGTATTGATACAACACCTTCAGCAACACCTAGAAAAAGCAGAGCTCATCAATAGCTTATACTGAGCACAGACCACTTTAACCAGAAGAACTCTACACTCCCGCTCAATCCGACATAAGAACCCCTCTGAATCCAACAAAACCAACGTTTATTCATTAGGCTAAAATGTGTACTCACTAATCCTTCTACTAAATGTCATTGTTAATTTTATAAGGCAATCTGCAGCTCATTATCAGGTGCTGCACATCTTTTAAAAATGCAGTCCTTTAGTAAGGCAAAACATACATGTTAATTCATCACCAACATAGCCCAGGAGCCCTTTCCCTGCAAGGTTTATTATTCCATCTTGACACTCTTTGGGAGCAGAAATTCATGCCCAAACACTGGATTAGTAAAATACTCTACACTCAGGCAGTCTACCGATTCTTGCCTATGTGCAGCCTTACAGCAACAGCAGTGTATGAAAAAATGTATGAGTATGAACCAGCCTCTCCCCTTGGCTTTCTGGCATCAATTCTTCTCCTGAGGTGCCCTTCAGAACTATTCACAGGGATTTACATTTGTTAAAGTCCATGGCTCTCCACGAATAAGGACATGAAATGGACATGGGACCGTTACTAGTAATTAAATTCCAGCTCACTGGAACGTTTGGTATTGGTAATGCAAGGGCATTCCCTTGTAGCCCAATCCAGGTCAGTGGCAACACTGCACCTTCAAGAGCAGCAGCACCAACTGGAGAGAAATGACAAATCCCATTTCCAGGATTTCATTAAATTCTTCACATAAAACATTTTTAAAAAAATCTAAAACTGAAGGAACTGGAAAAAAAAAATCTATCAATCTGTAACATCACCCAGAAAACATTTTGGGAAAGTAAGATTCATTATTTTGAAAAGTAATTCCGTTGACAACATTACACAAGCACTGAAGCATGTCTCCCAGAGGAGTTGCCTCACACTTGAGTTTAAAGAGGATGCATGAAATGAGGACCATGAAATTCATAGCGTTAGTAATGGTTTTATGCTCTAGATGCATTATCAGTCCTTAAAGTTTAACTGCTCATGTTTAAAAGCCTCCTGGACTTAAGAAATTACTGGTTGTTACCTTCACCTGAGTGCAAGGCTTTGGTGGCATTAGATACTGACTTAGGATAGGAAAGGAAAAGAGACCAAACGTTCAGACTTGCAGCTGAGGCCTAACAAATGGTCTTTTGCAGCCATGCTACTTAGGACAAGGGGTTTGGTCCTCTCTTTTCACAAATCTAAGTAGTTTCATGATTCAGATGCAGTAAGTAGAGAAATTAAAGATTAAAAACAGGTTTAAGAATTGCAGTGAGGAAAAACAGGATGTGAGATGGAGGCTGTAGGGCAAATGAAGAAAATTCTGCAACTGTGCCAAGGAACAACCAGGCACAGTGTTTGAACCAGTAGTGTTCAACCAGGGCTTAGTTCTGGCTCATCAGGTCTTTCAAAATGAGAAATGTCTTGAGCAAAAAAGCTGCTAACACAAAGGATAAGAATCAGGGTATTTGAGCTAGGCAGCTCAGCCTGTTTTGGCCAAGCTTAAAGTTTAGCTAGAACTAATGCTCAATGTACTGGATTATTTGGAGGGTGGTGACATGCACATGACAAAGAGGTATAGCGTAGATAAAAAGAAGAATCAATGACAAGTAATTATCAGAATATTAGCAGTTTGTTTCATGTTTATACTTGAACAACCTGTAATCCCGTATTTATCTATTGCTCCTTAAGTAAAAGAGTGCGTACACTTTGGAGAGTAAAGCGAACTCAGTGAAGCCTATTATCAGAATTTGTATTTTCAGTATTTCACAGATTTCCAATTTTTGTAAAGAAATACATCCTGTTAAAAAATTTTCCATAATATTTATCTGAACAATTTAATTTCTTGAGCATACATCTGAGACTTATCTTCTGCATAGAAAGAGAGGACAGCACCTTAAAAATAATCTGTATTTCTAAACAAGTTACATTATTGTACAGGAAGAAACTGTAAGCATGTTGAAGTCCTGCTTTTTAGCAATTTTCTTCAAATACTTAAATTCTTGGTGTTCCATTGCTTCAGTAACAGTAAGGATCAAATTTGATTCAAAGAAAATGTAAACAAGAAACACAAAGTATTTTGTTGAGATGTTTAAATTTATCTTTTCAAACGTTTCTTTTGCCCATACAGTCTTTTGTCAGAACTTCACTGTAGCTTGGAAGTGCAAAGCAACCAGGTAAGGTCTTAAAGAACATGCAATAATTATCTGATATCATCTACCAGTGATAGACGAGCACCTCAGAAGGTGACGCTGACTGCACTTGTCCGAGTAGAATGTTGGCATATATTTCCTAACACTCAATGTGACAAACGTTCTTTTCCCTTTCAATACTTTGACCTTCAAAAAACCCATTCCCTACTTCTCCTCTTTTAAAGTCCCTTAATTCTTTATCATCTCGTTAGGAATGAAAACTAAGAAAATGGAATCTGAACTAAGAATTGTTCCTCTCCTGATTAAAATAAAGGCTTTGAAGAAAACATTCTGCTCCCTGAGATTTTCATAAATTTAACAGTCTATTTACATTTACAACCTAATCACCTTGATATAAAGACTTATGAGCCAATATAGGGAAATTTTAGAAAAACTACATTTGTTATAAATAAGCTTGTTTCAAAAAACAGAAGTCAGTAGTACAGCCAGGAGCAGAGAATCAGATCCAAAAATTTCCCAATGTTCATGGGAATTTTCTTGCTAGTTCCCAAACTTCAAATTACTCACTTTAAACACATGCACTGTAAGAGAGACAGATGACAATTCCTGCCCCACCAATCCATTCTGTCCCTTCAAGAAAACCTGTAAGTTGCTGCCATGTGGTAGGACTATCTGAATCATGAGGTTACTCCAACAGAAGTAGAAATCAAAGAGAGTTTGGCATAACATTAATACATCAGGTTAGAAACTGCTATAGTGTGTAACAGAACTTGTAAAAGTGGAAACCCGCAGACAGGGAGATGAGTGGAAACGGACCTGTTTGTAAGTGAGCCTCTGCTTCATCAGGCTTTTGAGGAAGGCTAGAAAGCTTAGTTTTTACTGACTTTGAGTCAAAGAAAAACTGTATCGTCACAGTTAAAAGGATAGGTAAGAAGATCAACTACACCACAAAAATATTCTACCTACCTCTTCCAGAAAGAGAAAAATTGATAACATGTATCTGAAGCTCATCTGAGGGCTTGTTAATATGAGAGCATTTACTCTATTTACAGGTTATCAGTGCTGCATAGGCTATTTTCAGTGGATTGTCCTACGTGGCAAATTAATAATTCCTTTAATTATTCTTTTCGTTTAACCCAGAGACATCAGTGCTTTCAAAACAATTCTGAAGAACAGCAAGAAGCCTTTTCAGAAAATAATGAAATAAAATATCACTGCTAACTCTAAACTTATCCTAATCCCCCCTCACATTCAGCGTGTCTTACTTGCTGAACACCAACAGCAAATGCCTTCAGGAACACTTCAGCAAACTCATTGTACTCCTTGGAAACATTACCAGGACTTCCATACCTAGAATTAGAATCAAGTATGTAAATTCAAGGGTGCAGCAATATTATTGACTTGAATATTTGTTTGGGTTTTGTTTGTCTGTTTGTTTTTAATAAAAATGGAAGAGAAAATACCTCTCAAAAAGTCTAGCTAAGATATGCAAAGCCCACTTCTTGCATTTCCACCAAGGCAACTCAGGTCTATCATCTTCATCAACTTGAAGGGTTTCCTTTAGAAAAAGGGGAAAAAAAAAAAGATTATTTACCAACTATTCACAAAGAGTTCAAATTATATGTATTTTGAACAACCATATAGCATATTTTGCTTTTGACCTGCCATTTGCACTTCTAGTTTAATAGAGTTATAAAGCAGTGTATCTAAAAATAAATCCCATGATATATGCTGCATAAATAGTCAACATATTCTTGAAAGAAGCAAAACTAAGTTGTGCTGTAATTCACAACCAGAACTCCCATACAAGCTACATATTTTCAAAATTTGTCTATTCTGTTTAACACACCGTATTTAGGTTAAAAATTTATTTTCTTGGCATCTATTGAGAAAAAATTATACAGAAATAAAGTTAAACTTCTAAACATTCTAATGAATGAAAAATATTTAAGCTTAAAGACATAAATAGCCAAAAGCCACTTACAGCTGGTACATCCCTATCGACAACAGTCTTCAGGATTTCGATCCATTCAGTCAGGTTTTGCTGATTTATCAACTCCAAAGGTAGTGTGTACTTATTTAAAAAAAAAAAGGGGGAGGGGGAACTTACTATAAAGCAATTTGAAAATGTTATTTTCACAGTTTGAATTTTAGCTCTTTCCAATCTTTGTCTACACTTAGCTACCATGAAAGATCAGCAAATGACTCCGAAAACCAGGCAAAAGAACACAACCTAGTCTATAGCCTCAATATCCTCAAAGGTGCTAGATGCCTTTACTCCAATTGATTCTGCTTATGCAATGCTAAGATGCTACTTAATAGATGTTACATTAATTTCTGAAGCAATTAACAAACAGCATCTTAACAGCTCCATTCCAAACTACATTTACATTGGTAATTCTATGCAGGCTTGCCTCTGCAATTTGTCAATAGAAAACTGATTTTGTAATGGGGTTTTAGCAAACACTGTACCTCAGAGGATGGCATGCATAAGTTCTATCTAATACCAACCAGGAATAGCACTGTATAAAAGTACACTGTACAGCATAATCAAGCATACCAGAAACCTGTGATTCATACCACAATTGATTCAGATGTAATCTAATGTTGTTAATATTTCTGTAATTTACTAATTTAAGGGAAAGCATAACACTTTAAATCAAATTACTGATCAAGTATATACAAAGTTTCTTTTTTACCTGGACAAGGGCATAAAATATTTTGAAGATCTGTTTCTGGATGAGGACAGACTGATCCGATGGATCACTTAAGAGCTGAATGAAACTATCCTTCAGAACTGGTAGAAAATGTTGCATTGCAGCTATCAAAGGACTCCGCTCCTCTGGTTTCTTGTACCTTTAGGTAAGAACAAACTAGTTTTGTAGATCTTTCAGGTAGCTTTTGAACTTTAGAAGTCCACCTTTCCCCAGTGTAGACACAAGTATATTACAGTCCATAACATACAATCTAAAAAACCCCTAGCCATTTCTTCATTACAGAATTTGAAATAAAGTTATAGTCAGACAACATTACAGTAAAAGGAAAGCAGGGCCGGGGGGACACACACACCACACAACCATCGCTGAGCATCCATTACTCCACTATATATCCACATTAGTTTACTGCTGGTAATGCACTCCTGCCAACTTACTCACTTTGAATACTACATCATGTTCAGCCACACCATTACTATAGTGAAAAGCAATCAGAGCACTACAAAAACTGCAGGCAAAAGGTACGTATTTTTTGCCAAGAATGGCAGATGCTGGGCTAGTCAGTAAAATTCCAGAAAGATGTTTACCAGAGTTGACAATTTATTAAAGTTATTTCCAGAACCTAGATTACTTCACCGATATTGAAGGAAGTAAACTCTGAAGACTCTCACATCTTACCATTTAATTTGCCCAAATAGAAAAATTTGATAGAGAATGTAGGCTTCAAGGCTATGTGGCAGACTCTGAGCAGGCTTCGACTGCAATGCCCCTTGAAATAATGCGTCAGACCTTCCCATGCTGCTGACAGTCCACTAGTTTGCCTATGCTGAAAACAAGGCTCCATTTCCCTACTCAAAACATTTAAAAAGTCCTGAAAGGAAATGAAGCCACATTTTGAATTCTTCCCCCCAACTTTTAACTTATAAAGATGAAAGTCCTTATTGACTCAAGAGTTAGCATAGCAGAATAAGATCTTGTCCATACTGGTGATGAAAATAAGAACAAAGTAAAATACCATTTTGAGACTGCACAGCTCTATTAAGCAATTAATACTATAATGCTCTTGGACTCTTGGGGGAGATTTTTGGGTTGGGGGATTGGATTTTGGTTTGGTTTTGTTGTTTTAAATACATTTTTGTTAGACTTTTCCTTAATATTAACTATCAATGCTCAGCCTCTTAAACAGTGCCAATTTGCAGAAATATAAGATAAAGTCTACTCAATTTGCTGCCACGTGGCACGTTCTGTAAAACTACGACACAACACCAAGCTCAAAAATCCTGTTCAGTAATAGAGTTTCCACATATTTTCTGAAATAGAAACCTAAATATAAGGACTAAATGTTGTTCAGTAAAACTCAGTTTCTAATTTCTGCAAAAGACACAATTGAAAAAGACCAGAAAAATTGGCTATGCAAAGAGCAGCCCTTTAGTCTTACTGTCTGGATTGCAGGCGGCAGGGGGGGGAGGGAAACAAACAACTTCAAAAACTCCAAGGTCTTTACCTTCAACATTAAGGAAAAAAAAAAAAAGCAGCAAAATATTCCTACAACTCAGTCAGTAAAAGCTTGATCAAAGTCATAACATTACGCAGTTTTTTTTTTTTTTCCAAAAAAACCACCCTGACGTAAGTCATTTAACAAATTTTGCAGAGACCTGCTTGCACCCATAGTGTTACGCAATGAAATATGCATATTCCTACATGATTTGTGAAACCGACCCTTGTTGACTTCACCAGAGAACTAAACAAGTATGAGCAGTTGCTGGCCTCAGCTAAAGCGCTTGATGAACTAAGATTATGACCACACCTGTTACCTTAGTTAATCACACGACTGCACTCGTATCAAAATTCTTCCTTAAACAAGGATTGCTATAATCATAACACACTACCAGTGAACACTTCATGTTTGATGTCTCATGCTGTATATGTGGTTAAAGATGTTTAAATTGAAAATCAAGTGAGAAATTAGTTTATTTTCCTTTCCTAGCAGGACTTGCAATTTTCAGCCACCAAAAACACTCCAACATGGGATTACAAAAGCCTTCATAGTATTCCTGTAAAAAGGATTTTTAAGAAACTGATATTCATCTGTTTTACACTATTTACATAAATTAATGGAATTAGATAGTGAAATTTTTCAATGCAACATTCTAAATCAAGTACCTGAAAAAAAAAAATAATGTCATGCATGCTAGTGCTTTGAAGGAATAAACTGTGGATTCCATCAGTTCCACTACTACAATTCTCTGACTCCAGGATTGCTTTTCTCTGACCCAGCTCAAATGAGCTTCCTACATGACAGCAGCAGCAGCTAAGCTCCACATAACTTCTCAAAGTGCAACCTCAACTTCAAAGCTCTGAGCATAATACCAGGTACAGAGCAAAGAACATTGACCTGTATCCTAACCCAATGCCTTGCATATAGGAGAACAGTGGGCTTTGATAGATTTCCTATGATAGGTTGGATGAGGCTATCAAAATGATCATACCAAAGTCTGTCAACTAATTCTGAACTTCCTAACATTGAAGATTTCACACTTTGAAACCTTTATATGTTTACTGTCATTGATACCTCGAGTACAAATTGTTTAAGAGTCTAAACCTGGTTTAAATAAATTATCATTTTCCGCAAAAGTCATGATTTTGAGCAGACTTTCTTACTACTATCAATCCGTAAAATACAACTACCAAATCGAGGCTTTAAAACACCCTCTTTTTTCTATGTCAAGCTTTTAATGAAGGCAGTTTTTCCGTAATTTCTTAGTGAAGAACATATATGAACCAACATCTGCATTGTGAGTATTTAATAATATCTTCCAAAACTAGATTTCTATCACCTTTGCACAACCCCAGTTCTGCATGGCTATAATATACATGCAGAATAGAAAAAACATACACAAATATATTCATTCTGCTGGTTTATGTGATAGAAAAAACTTACTCATAGTTTTTCACAAGTTGATAAAGGCAAAGAAGAATTCCAAGCCAACAAGCACTGTTGTCAGACTGAAGATAAAATCCAATTTTCTCCACAACTGCAGTCCAACGACTAGGATAATCATGCTTGATAATATGGTGAATGCAAGTCGTAAGTTGTACTCTAGAAATCAAATGTGCAATGGTTAAGTTACTACTATTATTTTTAATATTATTGTGGTGTTGAAACAGCTAATATTGCCTAAACTTAAGAGTTATTTCAAGTTTTATTTAGAAGGTTTAAGTTCTGTACTTTCTGCTTAATACTCTCCATTTGAGGAACTTTAAATTTCTACATGCTGCACAAGCTGAAAATTGTTTTTCCACCTACATCTACATTAATTCTTTGCTTACAATACACAATGTATGATAGTGATGCCTAGCACGCAGGTGGTCTTACTTGTGCCAAAAAAAAAAGAAACCACAGACAATTCATAAAAACGTTGAAACTGCATACCTAATCAGCTCAGGAGAGTGAATAATGGCTTCTACAATATTTTCACGAATACAGTGTCTGTCTTCTTCTGGGATGGAGTAAGGTGGAATCTCTCCTGGTGCAGTTTCACGATCTGGCCAATACTGGGTTATCATATTCTTCAAGTAGATAACCCCTGCAAGACAGAACACCCACACCAGCTCACAGCCGTTCAGAGTACAAAAACGAAACACATATTCTGCAAACAAATCTATTTTAGACCAAAACTGATTGTAATGACTAATTCATTGACCATTTCTGAGTATGAGAATCAAAACACAAACTATGTAAATTATTAACCTAATATTTTACTAGGTTGATACTCTTTTACCCATTTATTGTGATGTTTGTATTCTTAATTCTGTAAAAAATGTGTTTTCATATAAAAACACTAAGCATATTGCTTGTACCTGTACTATAGAGAAGTAGTTGTGGAACATTTTAGCAACACACTTTTGAAAAACCCTTTATCATTTTCTCAGTATTTTCATTAAAACAAAGCTAATCAATACCAATGACTATCTAAAACAACCGTTGTAAGCAAAAAAAAAAATCTAATTAAGTTTGTGATACAGGAGTGAATGCTAAAGAGAAATAGAGCTCCTTTATACCAAGGTTATGGGGCACAGCACTTTGTAGCAATCAGGCTCCTGGCACAAATGCCTGCAATTACCATTTGATAACCAAATCCAAGTTGCTTATGTGGTAGAATATAGTTATAGCACTTGGAAAGAAAAGGACTTACAAAATGCAACAGGAAATGTCACATGACAAACCAATAACAAAGTTATTAACCTAATCCCATGTACAAATCCATAAAGCAACTTCTCATCCCAAATTTTGTATGCACCTTCCGCAGGTTCAGAAACCACAGGGTTTCTGAAAGTGTCTGCAAAGGAGAGAAACACCCAGCAGATATGTGCTATTACAAGACTGAAGTGATACAGCCTTCAATCTGTCCTGAGCAGGATTTATCATGTCATTAATCGCTTTGCAAAACGTGCACTGTAAGCTATGCGTTGTATGAGTCGTCTCCAGTCTCTATAGACGGCTTTGGTTTCTAATTGGCTTACACTGAGGGCTAATTTTTCAGAGGTTGTTTTCAAATGTACCCCCTTTTTTTTGCATGTTATACATGTTAAGCAGTAACTTTCTTGAGTCATCATCTGAATGGTACCCCCAAGTAATAAGATAAAAATGCAAGTTAGTCTTATGCTACAACTTAGGATAGTCTACTATGTGGACAATCCAAGTAAGCGATCAAGATCGCACTTCCTGAACTGTCAGAAAAAACATTGAAGTATCATATTAGAAACCTCTATCAAGTAATCATAGCAGCTTTAAAGGCGATGTTTGGAGTTGCTAATATTCAATATTCAATTTTACTGCAGGCTCATGTGCAAATCAGCAGGGTTCCAAGAGAAATAATCTGTTTTCTACCACTTAAAATCTTTAGAAATATTAGCGTTACTAGTACAAAGTTAAATTACTTCATTGGGCCAAGTGTACTAGCATCATAAACCATTCTGTTTCCCCAAAGACCATTATTCACTAGAGATAAAGGGGAGCAATCACTGAAGAGCCAGCCACCTTTTCTTTCCATCTTCCCTATTCAGTGTAGGGTGCCAGATATAATTCATGACTGTCATTCAAGCAACTCCCAACTTTTCAGTATTTGAGATTAAAACCATTAGAATTCTTTAACAGGATCTGCATATGTACTTGTGTGTATGAACCATTAAAGTAGACACAAAGAAAAAGGATTTGAAAACTTGCCTGCCTGTCTCACTGGTAAATCCAGTTGCTCAGACATAGTGATCTGAAGCAGAGTTGAAACAAAGTTCACTGATTTATGAGCCTGTAAAGGAAAAAAAAAAGTATTATTATTTAGTCATAGTTTGTTAAGTTTTAGAATACTCCCATTAGGTTTTACAATATCTTTATAATGATGTAATGCAATCAATAGAATACCAGCAATTCAGACAGTTTCACAGTAGTCAGCTAATCAACCAAAGCATTCCAAACTTTCACGCCCACTGTATCCTGAAGACAGCATGCGGGAGGAAAAACCCTACCTTTTAAGGTAACAGAGTGGGAAAAAAAAAAATCACTGAACAGGTTTTAGGTATCGGCCTTTTACAGTCACCAAACATGTTCTTCATTCAGAATACTTATTTGAAAGAATATCGAAATAGCCAGGTAAAACACAAGCGCAGCAAGTTTACAGCGACCTTTATCAAGGTATGAATTCATTATACAGATGGCAACTGTGTTTTAAAACTAAGCCCAGCCTTAAGCAAGCCTGTCCAACTCATAGTCCATCTTTCGAAAAAAAAACAGCTTCAAGTGACCATTTATGCATTACTGCAGCAACTGTCAGCATACCTACACAACAGCAAACCAACAATATGGAGACCAAAATGGAGTGACAAGTGACATCTGCAGAGTAATGACTTTGCAAGGGTGTGTAAGAGTTCACTTACAAAGAAAACAAAGCGTGTTTTTTCTTACAATAATGAGAAATGTCACTGGTACAGTAAATGCTGTATTGTATTTTCAGTATGAGAAAACTGACCCTAACATTATTCTAGCATCCTTTATCCACCTTTCCTAAGCATCAAAAACTCAAGACATTACATTAATTTCCTTGAGAAAAGTGATTTGTAATCCTTAAAAACTAATTCTAATTTTTAAAACTGGAAAGCAACATAGTTTTCCTCAAGGTCAAGAGTCAATGGACATGAGCTGAAATAAGTGAAATTCATATTTTAGAGAAGGGAAAAAAAAAAAAAATCACAAGGGTTGCCAAGGTCTGGAATAGTCTGTCCACAGAGGCTGTGGGACCTTGTCCGCTGACATATTCAGAACTCAACTGGACAAGTCCCAATCTACCTCATCTAACTTCGAAACAGCTTTTGCTTCAGGGGCCTAGACCAGACAATCTGCGGAGGTCCCTCCTAACCTAATTACTCCATGTTTCAAATTGCCAAGATATATTTCTGTTTTATCTTCACTGACATGTCAGTATTGTTTCATAAGCTCTTTGCAGCGCTCCTAGCAAAGACAACTGCATAGATCTATGTAACTTAATCTGTTAAACTCTTAGGAAAACATCTCTTACCTACTTGTTACTCAGTTTATTACTCCCTACATAAGGCAAATAAATTAATACTTTGAAAACCATTGAAATTACACTATTCATTTAGCAAACAATTGTCTCAGTTACTGCAGCAGAGCAAATTAATATCATCAAGATAAATTATCTTTCTATTCTTTTAATAGGACCAAAAGCTCTTTCGACAGTATGAAATTATGTCAATGTTCCTAAGTGTGTAACACTGCCCAGGTCACTCCTACAGCACCAGGTTCTTCTCTCCAACTTTAACTTTCCCTATCAAGCATCTCCTGTACATTCTGGTATAAACAAGTGTAAAAGGGACAGCCTGGGACATGACATTTGTTCATGCTTTTGTACTAAGATTTGATTAATGTAGCCCATTTTCTATCACGTGTTATTTAAAACCAATTTTAAATGAAGAATTAACTTGACTTAAGAATCTCCACAAAATGTTAAAATGTTGTTGTACATATTCATCCCGTGCATTAAAAATCTGCAGGCTGCAGAAAACCCACAGAAGCAACACTCCCATCTGTTCCAACAAAAATGTTTATTCACAGAGTGTGTTTTGATGAATTGGAAGTAACTGACACTGCAATATGAGCACACATCTTTCTCACCCACATCCCTCTGATACCCTCAAAGTCCTAAAGAAGCAAATACACTTTCAAATTAAAAAAAAATCCCAAACCCCCCAAAAAACCAAACACACACAAACAAACAAAACCCCAAACCTATTTGTTTTCAACTGTCAAGTAATGGTTGAATAAATACATTTGAAATAAAATCTACTTGCTGGTGTTAATTTCTACTACAGTTCGAGGACCGTTAAGTTCCTTTTCTTAAGTAACGTTAATAGACACACTTCTCCTGCAACATATACCAAATGGCATTAGACCCTAATTCAGCACACTATTCTATGCCCAACATTAATGTCAGTGGAAGTACTCCTGTACTTAAATGTATTATGAATTTGCTGAAGAACGCTTTCAGTTTCAAAAACCTTTAACTCACCTACGAATAAGGTCATTACAGACTTAAAAGTACAAACGGATGTCTTTCCACAATGACTATGATAAACTTAACAGCTACCTTTTCAACACTGAAAATTTGCAATATATTTCATGTCTGGAAATGGAAAAGCATTTAATCCTAGAATTTGAAAAAATGAAGGATTACTTTCCCTTTTTCATGATAAATGACAACTATCCTTTTAATAAAAAACTATCAATTTCAATAAAAAAATATGGAAATTGCTTAAGAGCGATCAAGGAACTAATGGGAATAACAAAAAAAAAATATAATACAAAACCTCTGTGTCTTGAAAGCAAAATGCAACAAAAATTAAACAGCAGTGTACAAAACTGCCACACATAGAAATTTAAGAAAATACTAAAGAATAATCTTTTCTTAATGGAAAAAACCCAGGACTAAGCCTATGCCTGTAGCAAGCTACAGAAGGTCCCGAGAAATGTCAGTTATATTAATATGTGGGATTAATATATTTTCCACTGGATTCTTTGAACTATAACATGTTTTAAAGGATAGGACCAAAACATCTATACCATTATCTTGGGTTTTTTTTTAGTTTACAAGTATCATCCTTACAAACATGTCAAGCATCAGGCACCAACCAACCACAACGATGAGCTACTTCATCACCTTTAGTGGTTCAAAGCAGAGATTCATACTAGAAATAATTTGTGCTTTTAATACAATGTAGCGTAACTAAAATACCTTGTACTTCCCAAACAAAGCCATCTCTTAATCCATTCAGTTCATAACTAAATTTTCGCAGAACTACATTTAACACTTCTATGCATTCTATGTGGAATATAAAGGATGTCCAAACTCTTTCCAATGACCCCCTTCCCATGCCACTGAAAGGAAGGCAATTCCAGAGAAACTGAAATGTGGAGTAAGGACAGCTACATGAAGGCATGGGTGTACTGAATGGTCAAATAAAACCCCAGGTACTAGAATAACCTGTCACTCGCCTCCTTGTTTTGTTTTGCTATTAAAAAGAACATCCGATGTTTCATTCGCACCCGAAAAAACAACTGAACTTAAAATACGGCACCACATAGGTGCCAATTTTGTATCTATGGCATTAAAAAATACTGAACACACATCCATTTCAGCTATTTTAATCTTTAGTATTTTTACTCTCCAAAGATGGCTGCCTCTCAGGACATCATGTTCCTCTTCACTGACAGCACTGCTAAAAAAAACCAACCAAACAAAAACCCCACACCTATTTTAGGTACATATTCTATACAAATACTAGCTTTTGGTTTCAGTGCATGCAATTAGCCAGAATCCTTCGCTATACAAAAGGTGAGCTGCAAATGCAGATTCATAAAAGGTCTATCAGCGAACTATGTGAATGTAGAGCATTCTGCTGGCCCATGCGCACCCCAGTCTCCAGAAGAATCAGATGCACTGATGCCACTTCAGTGAAAGCCACTGGCAAGTATTGTCATTCTACACAGAAGTCCCATGGCTCCAGCATGTGAGAATTAAAATCAGGATTTCACAGTGGTTGCTATCAGATACTCTACACTGTGTGGAGAATAGAAACAATTTCTATGATTTTAGAGTTTTAACATCTGTAAAACTTCATCTTTTATTCTCTTACTCCTTGTTTACAAATACCTTCTTAAAATAAGTATTAAATTTAAGAACTACAATGATAACTGAAAAACCAAACAGTTCTGTCACAGTCAAAGTCCATTTCCCAACACGTAACTCAACATTTTAAAAAAAACAAAACCAAAACTGATCTTAAGTCCTTCCCGCTTACAAATCCTCCAACTTGCCGTGTCACTGGTATGACTTTGTTGTGTAAGAGCCAAAGAATTCAGGGACTTTTCCCAAGAGCAATCTTTGCTATGCAGCCTCGCTAGCTAAGGAATGTATTCTATCAGACCACAAGCGTTGCACCACTGTCTGTTAATATCAATCCCTGTTCCAGAACATACAATCTTTTTGCATATTTCATTGCAGCTTTTCCGAGCAGACTTGTTTCTTAGCCATGTGCTAAAACACACTTCTGAGCAAAGTGCCATGCCAGCTACATAATCTGAAATATAAATGAAGTTTGAAGTTAACATTAAAGAGACCAGTTCATGGCATATGAACTATCAACAGTTAATTATGATACAGAAAAGCCCTTTTCCCCAGTAATGATACTCACTAAAGTCAGTTACATTTGTCTTTAATACTAGAATTATTCATATCTCACACAAAGCCTGCATGCCACTAAATGATAAAAACAAGAAGTTTCATCTCAGTCAGAGACCTCCATGCATTCTTCTTAGACGTTAAGAATTTAACATACCATACAGACACACTACTACTGGTACCTCCTTTACCGTTACCAAAAAAGCAAAACAGAAGGGTAATACTTACTCTATGTTGCTTGAGCTAGAACCCTAGGTTATTTATATAGTTATTCAAAGTCGCACACATTTAAATAAAGGCTACAATTTATTTTTAAAGGATCTGAAGAAATACCAATTCAATGCATCTCCCCCATTCCAATTTTGAAAAAAAAAAAACCAAAACAAAACAAAAAACAAAAACAAACAAACAAAAAACCTACATGCAATTTTTGATCTAGACCATAACAGGATTAGGTGAACACAACTATTACGCTGAGATGAAACGGTTTGGTTTTTTTATAGAAAGGTAAGGTCAGGAACTGTAAGGCCATGCTGAATCAGCAAACTGCCCTGTAGCACTCTTTCAATTCTTTTTTAAGAACTCAGCAGGTGTGGGAGTCATTCTGACCTCAGTTTTTTGCAGGCTAGTTCTGCAACCTCTTATGCACCTACAATATGTAAATCCAGTTTAAGGTCCACAAAAAATAAATACACGCTTACCAAATCTTGCAAACATCCTTGATGCTCATTTTATCAGAATAAAAAGTCTGCAAGTTCTGAAGCTTATTTGCTCTTCTATTCACAGAGGAAAAAGGAATGTGCTCTTAGCAAAGGCTAGCTAAGCACACACAGTAACTATCTGCTAAGTCATGAGAAAGTGGCAAGTCGCTCTGTCTGCCAGGATTTTGCCTTGTACTGGTTAACATGCATCGAGAATGTAACGTCTTCCTAATGAAGACAAAGCTCCCTTGGTTCCTTACTGCCCCCAAGGGGATTTCTGGTGTTGGACCAGCCTCAACACATAAAATTTAAAACCACCCTTTCCCAAAGCATCTCTCATCTAGCACACACCAAAATATAAAGATGGAAGATAAAGGCAGTGAAAATAATCGAGTACTTTTGGTAAAACATCATACTAACAACTTTAAAAGAGAACCCATGATCTGATAATCAGAGCCAGGAAACTCATGCTCTGTTCTTGTTCTTACTCACGCTACAATATATAGAGGTAGTGTTATACATGAAGACCATGTTAGAAAAGGTTAAAAAAAAAAATTAAAGATGAGGGCAACACACTATAAATACCTACCCCAAAGTATCCAAAACATAGTGTATCAGCATTTGGAAATTCCTGGGTGAAAGGCACTGCGTAATAAGCATCTTGCTTTTTCCCCTTTGACAACCTTTCACTCCAAGCTCCCAGTAGTTAAGAGTCCAATCATTTAATCATTCCATCATTCTGACATCTGTATCTATTAAGCAGGCAATTAAAGACACTGAACTAGGCCCTGCCATATTCTGTTAAACCAATGGCATGCTATGGGACTAGTCAACAAGCTAAAGCATTTTTCCTTCCCCTGTCGCTCATACTAGAACATGAAGAAGCTTAAACATAACTTCTGAAAGGCACTTTTTCAGTAGAGCAACAGGGTAATATTTTCCTAAACAAACTGTGTTAAGCTTTGACTTTAAAAAATTGTAAGTTATTGGGGATTGCTTTTTTATTTTTAAACATTCTCAGACAGAAGAATTGGGTTGTTAGTCTAAAAAGACATCTTAATAGCTCATATGTACTGCCGTTAATCTCAGATACTTACAAGACATACATAACAGTTAAGTTATAAATTCCCTGAAATTACAAAGAAGAAACCTGCAAGGACCGTACTATCCAGCAACTGCACCTTTATAAATATATTGGTATTAAAAGATTAAACAACACTGTGTATTATTTTCAGAGTGTAATTCCATAACTGCATGGTTAAAAATATCTATTTTCATCACCATTTCTGAGAAACACTTTATACCTAACAGTACAAAGACTGTTTCAAAAGGCAACAAAGTTGTCTCGCTGCTTGAAGAGTCTGGTTCTAAGCCCTTGTAAAACACAGCTTGTCCCTCTAAGACAGGGACAGAGATGGCAAAACACCTCAGGGTACATCATCAGCTGCAAATTACATGAGAAGCTGACACAAGAGCTAGTGGTATCATTCCCTGTAACTTATTTTCACAGTGCAGAAAGTAATGCCAAAAAGACTGAGATACCTGCATTGACTTTTTTTTTTTTAGTCTCTCTCAACTCTGAAAGTTCTCATAGCATTTTATGTGCAGGCAATACAACCTGATAAAACTTAGTGAAAGAAGAAATAAAGCATAGAAGAATTCATGACTTAGCCAAGGTCAAAGGAAAATAACAAACTCTGGGCAAACTGAGAATCATACACCTGGTTCCCTTCTCCAGTCAGTGGAAACTGTGCTGATTATGATGAAGACAGATCTAGATACTTAACTCTTCCATTAATTAGGACTATCAACTACTGACTGAAGCATGTTCCTTTCTGATAAGGTAAAATGACCATTCTACTGACAACCAGTCTTATCAGCTCAACAGAGGCACTTAAGACAAATTAAAGGTAAACTAAAAGGTCAAGGACAACTATTAAACTTAAATTATAAAAACACTTGTATGTACCTGGCCATGTGAAACAATAGTGTTTGCTGCTGTATGATTTCATCTTTGCAGAGAAAGAGACACCCCTACCTGAAATGAAATATTAACTGGTAATGCAATTGCCTTAACAGTTAACAAATTCAGACCAGTATCCTACAAGCAAATGCATAACTGACTTCAATAAACCTATGCAAAACCAAGACCATGCATATGACTAAAACCTAAATATACATACCAGTGCTTGCAGATTTAGGGTTTGACAAATACTTTTATCACAAAAGGACTGTGAAAGATGAGCAAGGCTACATTTCCAATAATAAAGAATTCTTACGCACTGGTTCAATAATGTCTGGTGTTTGTAACGGGACTCAGGTATTTTGATTTTATACCAATTTAATACTTGTGTAGTACATGATAGACCATGATGTTTTGATTCAAAAGTGTGAACAAAAGCCAGTTGCTGGTGAGCATGATCCTTCATGCAACAGTTAGCCATTTGCTGAAGACCCCGATTGGCAGAGAATGTAATTTCATGCACGTTCAGCAACTCAATACCTGCAGAAAATAGCTAAAATAGATTTCAAGCAAGTTACTGTATGCACATACTGACATGCATACAACACAAAAAATGGCATTTTGGAGCCAGCTTAAGATTTCATATATATTACTGTCTTTACAGGCAATTACATGATTTTCACTTCTGGTTTAAATAAGAAACACTAAAATACTTTTTACCTAAGTATATGGAAAAGACAGCCAACTACTTTATACAAACCTTAATTAAACATTTGGTAGTTTTACAGTTATTTATTTAAAATGCACCTCATAGTTATTTGCCATTCACTTATTTAATGACATGCAGGAATTCAGCTTAATTCACTTTTTCCTAATAAGAGAAGGTATACCTTTAGTTTTTGAAAGTTTCTCTACCACCAGCAGAACATTTGGCCCATCTTTATCTAAGCTCTGCTGAACATCTGTGGAAAAGGCCAACTAAAGGCACCACAGGAGCTGCCACACAGGCTTACCTTTCACCTCCTCCATCAAGCTATCACCTTTTCTTCAAAAAGTCTGAAAGTCCCGTGGCTGTGTCTCATCAATAAAAAAAAAAATTTCCGTTTTTTTTAGGGTTAAGTGGAGCAAAAATATAACTTTCTTTCAAAATCGAAACCTGTGGAACTAGGACCTCCGGGTTTTGTTATATCCCAATATGACACATGAATGTAGTCTAAGCAGATGACAGATCTGGGCTGGGAGCCCTGTCTTCCTCTGTTCTTTCGGGCACGTGTCGATACTACACCCAGAAAGCACACCTACCTCGACAGCGCTGCCGAACCGGGAGTCCAAAGGATTTGTACGAACACCAAATAACGCCAGGCTAGCAGATTTAATTCTGAACTCGGCCCAGGCCACTCTTACGCTAATAGGCTGCACTACTTAGAAAAGTGATGGGGATCTTACTACCTCCTTTCCCGTTGAAAAATTACTGCCTTCCACATCCAAAGACTGCCCTTAGACAGTCCTAGGCAGGACTGGGTCCAGACTCTCAGCCACCGGGGGCCTGCGCCACCGATGATTTTAACCACCCCTCTATGGACTACCCTTTCCCCGGCTGAGCAGGAAGACAATGGAGGTAATTTGTTACCGACAGGAAAGGCAACGGGGGCCTCCTCCCCAAC